AGAGAGAGAGAGAGAGAGAGAGAGAGAGAGAGAGAGAGAGAGAGAGAGAGAGAGAGAGAACTTGGTGACATTTGGATCCAGACTCAACATTTGGACTTCAGACATTTTGAAGAGGGATTATTTGGGACTTGTAACGAGACTTGGTGTTGACGACTTTCCCATCTCCCCCTTCCTCTTCTTCGTCTGATCCCCTCCTCTTCGTCTGTGTATGTCTGGACCTGGCGCCTCCTTCCTGTGTATAGCGCTAGACCCCATCACACATTGTGATGAGCATGATGTATGTTTGGTCTGCGTTGAAACATTGAGGGGGCTAGTCCTTAGTATTCTAGCATTCTGTTTTTGCTATCTTGTACTACGTGAAAGAGGTCAGTCCCGGTCAGGTCAGGACTTGTATCTAAAGTCTTCCCTGCGCTACAAAGCACCACTTTGTATGTATCGGAATGCACATTGCTTGTTGAGATTCTACTTGCACTGCATTGTCCATTCAGTATCACATTGCGGATCCTCGGTTATTATGTACATCGCCCAACTGGGCATGTAACAGAGACCCTGCACAGGATCTTGGGGAACCTTGCGGCATCATACTCCACCAGGGGTCTCTCTCTCTCACTCTCCCTCTCTCTCTCTCTCTCTCTCTCTCTCTCTCTCTCTCTCTCTCTCTCTCTCTCTCTCTCTCTCTCTTAGCCCTTTTTTTTTTCTGATAGAGGTCTAGCGTTTGGATTTTTTTGAGGGGTATGTCTGTGTCCTCTGGATGCGGGAGAAATCAACAGTTGAGAACGGAGGACTGATTTATTGTATTATTTTTTATTTTTTACAGATGATTGATTAGATGGATCGGTACGATGGCAAGTACGTGGCCGATATCTCGTCTAGATTAGGAGACAGCGGCAGCCTGGCATCTTGGCAGAGGGAGGAGGAAGAGAGAATGAGAGCGGTCCTTCAGCCCGACGAGACAGCGTGGCAGTTTTTGGCGCGCAGTCACCTCAAGCCTCTGCGCACTTCTATTCCTTTTTTGGATAACCAGGCCATCGGACCGGGACACGTGGTAGAGATCTGTGGTCCCAGCGGCAGTGGAAAGACGCAGCTTCTTATTCAGGTGAGAGAGAAGATGAATTATAAAAACTTGTATTTCATTAAATTTTTAATGATCTAACAAAAATACAATTCTTACGGTTTTGGAATTAATGCAAATATAAAAGAGAGAGCATTGAAAAAAGAAAGAAAGAGAGAGGATACACTGAAATAACAAATCTTGTTGTGAAGCAGGATTTTGTTTCATTTTGTTTTGCGTTCAAAGATATTTCGAGTGCATTAATTTTAGTTTTTAATTTCATTCAAATTTATGATTTTAGTATCATTTACTCCTAAATCTACAATTAATTAAATATAATGCACCGACTGACCTGGCTCAGTTGGCACACCCATGAATTGTTGAAGTGCAGACCTCAGTTCGGGTACAGATGCAACCAGATGAACAGAATAAAACAATTCCGAAGTGGAAAACAAAAATGTTTTTTTTTTTGTATTTTCTTTTTAACTGGGGAGTGGTCAGTTCTTCTTGTTGGGGAATGTCGTCGTATCTGAGACTTGTACACGCTGATTGAATGAGAAATCTTGAGAAAAAAAAAAAGAAAAAAAAAAAAGAGAGAAAGCTTGAGATGCATGCACGGAAAGCAGTTTGTGACGTTCCATGGCCTCCTGAGATTTTTGAATATAAAGTGTCTTTTGCTTAAGAAAAAAACGAAAAAGAAAGTAGCTTGACCGCGGGGCAATGTACTCGTTTCTCCTGAGTTCAGTGCATGTGCGAGGATCTGGGTCCTCGGCAGGCCTAAGGGGCCTCGGTTGCAGTGGTGCCCGCCCTAAGTGAAGGCGGGCCTAACATATCACAAGAGGCCTTTGACTGTCAATTTCATATTTGGGGTACAGGCAGTTGCGACGCGCCAGTTGGTTGAGAGAAACACAGGCAGAGCAATCAAGACATTTCCACGGCCTTCTGGGCCTTTCCAAAGAATGCAGGCCCTGGGCGAGAAACGCAGCCTCATACACTGACAGTTGGGAGGCCCAACCGAAAGCGGCCCAGTAGCTGCAAAATAGCACGCAGCATCCTGGGGCCTACCGGAAGCTTCTGGGCCCAGGCCCAACCCAGCCAGGCTGCGAAGCAGACAGGCTCTTTCCATAAAGGAAAGAGCTCGCCACTCTCCGCCTCATTTAGGCACTCGCATGCTAGCGGCAGCGCTGGTGGAGCAAAGGCTCGTGGGCTGCTGCGGCTCTGAGAGGCGAAGTGCAGCACGTGCGGTCGTGCAGGGAAGAAGGGCGCTGCTGAGGGCAGCGCCATAGCCCATCCACCATAGCTGGTGGGCTTGGACTACAGTGAGGCGCCTGAGCGGTCTTCGGGTGTAAGGGAGGAAGACACGGGTGTAAAGTCAGGGAAAGGTGCAGGATGATGATGATGATGATGTGAGGGCACATACCTTGTATTGGCGATGGTCTGCATTTGGGCGACATCTTCAAGTACTTCGGGTTGCCGCTGATGTCAACAGTTGCATTGTCAATTAGTAGGCTGATCGTAGCTGTGTAGGAGTAGGCTGGGCGCTGAGCGCGAAGTAGGAGTGTGAAGGGACTGGACTCTTGTGTTGTTGGCGGAGAGAGAGAAAGCTCTCCTTGACATTGGTTTTCAGTACTACGAACCTCCATTGGTGTATTATTGGTGCAATGCTGCTCTCTGGACACGGTGTGACTATCTGGCTTTCAATGTGATGGTGTAATCTGGAATTGTCATCTCGCTGTTGCTCATTTTCCTTGCACATGCGGAATGTATTGAAATTCTGTGGAAACATGTTGTAAGGAAGGCAAAAAGAAGGGAAAAAAGAGAAACAAAGAGAAAAACAGGTAAAAAAAAAAAGAGAGAGAGACAAATCTAAAAAAAGAAGACAAAGGTAGGAAACAAACGTTTAAAAAGCTAGGAAGATTCTCACGGCCGGCCAGGCACCCGGGCATGACGCCCAGGGGAAGGGGGTATAAATTGGTCTTAAAGGGGCTAAAGGGGTTTAAAGGGGGGTGCCTTTGTGTGAAAGGAGTCCTGCCGATGTGGACCTCCTTTTTGTTTTTGGAATTTCTGGTGTGCAGATTTTTTGTTTTTGGAATTTCTGGTGTGCAGATTTTTTTGTTTTTGGAATTTCTGGTGTGCAGATTTTTTGTTCTGTGGAATTTCTTCATGGTGTGCAAATTTTTTCATGGTGTGTCACAACGTTCCAATTTTTCAAGGTCTGCAGATTGTCGCCACGTATCGACATTTCAAGGTGTGCAAGGTTGTCGGCACATGTCGCCGCTTTTATTTTCTTAAGGTGTGATGGTGTGCAGTGTTGCGACAGATCAACTTTTTCATCCATTTTTGTTGGTGTGTTGATTACCGCCATATGATGATATGACCTTTTTTTTTGTTGTTTTTTTTATGTTGTGACCGGTGATGAGCAACCGGACTGTCGTCCCCCAGAATAGACGGGGCCCATGTGTGTTTGTGTGAAAAAGAAAAAAAGGAATGTCAATTGAACTTCGGAGGGGTGTGTGTCCTTCGGGACATCCGTTAAAATTGGAACGATACAGAGCAAAAATATTAGCATGGCCCCTTCACAAGGATGACACGCATAAATAGAGAAATGGTCCAACATAATAATAATAATAAAGAAATATTATGGTGTGTAGTGTTGCCGCATTTCCACTTTTCAAGGTGTGAAACTCGTCGCCACGTGCCGTCCCAAACATTGTCGCCACATGTCTTTCTAAGTGTGTGTATATTGTCGCCACCTGTCGTCTACTCATCATTGCCACGTGTCTTATGGTGTCCATGTTGTCACCACGAGTATTTTTTTTTGGGGGGGTAACTTACAGTACAGTTGCAAAAACAGTTTGAAATTACACTTCGGGCATTCCCCCGAACATAGCACACTCCCACGTAACCCTACGTGACCGGAAAGCCAGCTTGTATACATTGCCCCAAGTGCAATTTGAAACTGTGTTTTGCCCGAAGTGTAATTTCAATCTGTTTCTGTGACCGCCGCCTAGTTTCCCCTTTTTTTCCCCCTCTCCTGATGGACCAGGGCTCAGATATTAAACTGATCAGAAGAGATACAGTGCACTTGATCTATTTTTAGCCAAAAAGCCGAGTCAAATTTTTGTAGAGTTCTTGTGGTGTGTATATTGTCGCAACGTATCGTCCGAAGACATTGTCACCACATGTCAATCGATTTTCCCTGGTATGCAGGTTGTGTTGCCACGTGGCAATCGTCTTTTTTTTTTTTTTTTTTTTTTTTTTTACACACACACACACACACAACTGCCCCTTCTACTCTGCGGGGCCACATTCCAGTTACTCATCACCGGCAAGCAAGTATTTCGCACTCAAGATGAGTGTAATGTATAAGAAAGAGCAGATTAAAGATCCAAGTGGAAAGGCGAAGTCTACCCAGCCTCATCCCTGCGGCTCTCGTCACCGGTCCAGGGGGAGGCCTCCTCCCACTGCGTCTACTGTGCGTCGCAATCGAATTTTCATGGTGTGCAGATTGGCAGCCACTAGGACAGGGACTAAGTAAGGGACTAAGTAAGAGACTAAGTAAGAGAGTTAAAGAGACTAAGTAAGAGACTAATTGTAATGAAGCGGAGTCGCTGACCATGTGAATCCGTTCCCTGACCACGAAACATGTGTGTGTGTGTGTGTGTGTGTGTGTGTGTGTGTGTGTGTGTGTGTGTGTGTGTGCAGATTGTTGCCACCTGTCTCCTTCCAAAGCGTTGGGGTGAGGTATCTTATGGTGGTGCTGAGGGTGTTGCCTACGTGCTGGACCTGGACTGTCACTTCAACATCTCAAGGGTGGTCGACGTATTGAAGACAAGAATAAGCGAAGCTCGAGGTGGGTGGGTCAAGAAAAAATAAAATCAAGGAATTAATTAATGAGTAATTACGTAGTAATTTTGGATAATTACGTGATTGAAGAATTAATGAATTAATATGTAGGCTACAAGCCGGGCCGCCCGGGTCACCTTGTTAGCCCGGGCAGGCCGGCCGTGCAAGGACCAAAGAAGGTCCCAGCAAAAGAAAAACAAAAATCCAAAAAATCCTAGGCTACCAGAGGGGCTGGGGACCACTTGTCCGGCCGGGCCCAGAATATATATACATATCTAGGCTACCAGAGTGGCCCGGGGTCACTTGCCCGGCTGGGCCAAAAAAAAAAAAAAAAAAAAAAAAAAAAAAAAAAATCTAAATTTGGTGAGCAGTTTCGATGTGACCCTGAGGTGAGATAGGTGAGGTGAGATATCAACATAGCAATCATAGATCAAAATAGACACAATGATTGAAGTCCGAAATAACAGACATAACAAATTAAGAGAGAAGTAGCTGTCCGTGAGACCCGGTGGTTGGGCTCAAGAACTCTACAGACTCCCCTGCCGCTTCTTCTTCCCGAAACTGAACCTGTCGTCTCCGCATTCCCGCCGGGACAACTCCCGGATGCCATGCCATGATAAGAGGACAATGAACACGAGTTACCTACTATTAATAGTCTAACTTCCAAACTATCCTACCTACTGCCTACTGAGCAGGTTAGCGG